AATACAGAAAAGGAAAGCATAATGTTGCTGTCATTATTCACATATACATTGTTTCCATATAAAATGTAAAGCATGTACTGATAAACTACTAGACTTGAACAGGAAACTTTGCAATGTTGATCAAAACAACATCTCTGTATAAAATTCAATTGCATTCCCAGGCCTCATCAATGAGAATTAGAAAATTTAATGTAAAAAGTGATATTATTTATAATAACTGCAAAAATACAGTCTATTCACCTCTCCATTAACATGTATACTTATAAGAAGAAATACAATAAAGATTTTATGACATAAAGAAAAATTATAAAACTTAATTTAATAACATTTAAAGAGATTCAAACCAATGAGAAGGTAAGGTATACCATGTTCATAAATAGAAAGAGTCCAGTAGTTTAAAGCTACCAAGTTCTCTCTTAAAACTTAAGTCAAAACTTACCAAGACTTTTGTACAACTTGACAAATTAATTCTAAAATTCTAAATTGATTCTAAAATTTTTGCAAAGGAGGAAAAGCTAACAACAGCCAAAACACCCCTGGAGGAATGGGAGGAGAAAGCAGAAAACATGTCCTATTGGATGTCAAGATCTTTACATAAAGCACTTCAGTTAGAAATGCAATTTTGACTTGAAGATAGAAAAATAAACCAATTAAATCAGAAGAGAAGTAGTAAAAACAGACTCACAAATACGTGTAAATGATATGTAATAAAACTTATAGTACAAATAATTGTGTAAAGACAACTTAATGATACTAGAAAAATAGTTATTTATATGAAAAAAATTGAATTAGATTTCTCTCTGTATATAAAAAATCTATTCCAGTTAAAGTCTTAAATTTTAAAGTGAGCCCTTTTAGATTTTATTTTAATTTTAGAAGACAATATAGGAGAATATTTATATGGCTTTTGGGTGGAAGAAAATTTTATAACCAAGACACAGAAGTGCTTTCACAACATAAATTTGTATCTATTTAACATTTCATAAAATAAACTTTTTTGCATTTGCTAGAATGACAATAATTTAAAAGCCTGCTGATAGCAAGTTTTGCTAAGAATGTAGAATAAAACAACTCATATTTGTTGGTGACTATTTACATTTTATAATCAATTTCGCATTTTCTTTTAATTTGTCCATGTGCCTGCCTTACAATTAAATAATTCCTTTCCTGGATTCAAACTTAAAAATAAATTTATAAATGTGCATGAGGAGTCAAGTACAAACATATTCATAATAACTCATAGTTAAGAGTGAAGCAAAAACAACAAAAAAATGACAATAAATACCACCAAAGAGGGAACAACTCAAATATCCACTGGCAAGAGTGAATTAATGCACAGCAGTACAAATGAACAAATGAATCAGATAAAGTTATATCAGTCAGCATGATTGAATAGCACCACTCATACAATATCATCCCACCTATATACAATACTAAAAATATGTTGTTTAGAAATATGTAGATTATTTTTAAAAACTATCAAGGAAAGAAAGGAAATAATAAATATCAAATTCAGGATAGTGATCACAGTTAGGAAATAGGGCAGGGAATGGAATCAGAAAAACATAGGCATTCTTAAGGTATTGGTAAGGTAATTTTCTTTTAAAGCTAAATGGTGGTTGTGTGGATGTTTATTTTATTTACTTTTTTACACTTACACATTTGTTACAAATATTCAGATTGGAGCACCTGTGTTTTAGTTTCATCCCATATATTCCATTAAATTGTTGATTTTCACCAAAAACCCGAGCAAAGTTTTGTCCTGTTAAAAGTCATGCTAATTTTAGATCTTTCCTGCTTTCTCTTGTGGGCATTTAGTGCTATAAATTTCCCTCTACACACTGCTTTAAATATGTCCCAGAGATTCTGGTACGTTGTATCTTTGTTCTCATTGGTTTCAAAGAACATCTTTATTTCTGCCTTCATTTCGTTATGTACCCAGTAGTCATTAAGGAGCAGGTTGTTCAGTTTGCATGTAGTTGAGTGGTTTTGATTGAGTTTCTTAATCCTGAGTTCTAGTTTGATTGCACTGTAGTCTGAGAGACAGTTTGTTATAATTTCTGTTCTTTTACATTTGCTGAGGAGTGCTTTACTTCCAACTATGTGGTCAATTTTGGAATAAGTGCAATGTGCTGCTGAGAAGAATGTATATTCTGTTGATTTGGGGTGGAGAGCCATTGTGGAAGAAGTGTGGCGATTCCTCAAGGATTAGAACTAGAAATACCATTTGACCCAGCCATCCCATTACTGGATATATACCCAAAAGACTATAAATCATGCTGCTATAAAGACACATGCACACATATGTTTACTGCGGCACTATTCACAACAGCAAAGACTTGGAACCAACCCAAATGTCCATCAATGACAGACTGGATTAAGAAAATGTGGCACATATACACCATGGAATACTATGCAGCCACAAAAAAGGATGAGTTCATGTCCTTTGTAGGGACATGGATGCAGCTAGAAACCATCATTCTCAGTAAACTATCGCAAGAACAGAAAATGAAACACCGCATGTTCTCACTCATAGGTGGGAATTGAACAATGAGAACACTTGGACACAGGAAGGGGAACATCACACACTGGGACCTGTCGTGGGGTGGGAGAAGGGGGGAGGGATAGCATTAGGACATATACCTAATGTAAATGACGAGTTAATGGGTGCAGCACACCAACATGGCACATGTATACATACATAACAAACCTGCATGTTGTGCACATGTACCCTAGAACTTAAAGTATGATTAAAAAAAATGCATGCTACTATAGTGTTGTGTATAGGAAGATTAGAAATAACCTAAATACCCATCAATGTAGTATTGATTAAATACATTTTTTGAACAATAATAGAAGGAAATATTTTAAAACCATTAAAAATAACTAAAAAAAGTCATGCTAAAAATATTTCTTACTCAGTATTTATTTAACAATTTAGATGAACAATGATCTGTCTTAGATTTAGCAACTTTATCTTTTAGTCAAAGTTATCTATTACGGACAACTTAAAAGCAGTAAATTTTCTTTCCTTGTGGATTGAAAGCAACTTAATACCATCACACTGGAAATGGAATCTAAAATGGGAGAGGCTGCTAGTGCAGCCTTTGGGTTAAATTTCTTCTCTCTCACATTGGCTCATTCTTGTAGCCCTGAATCGCACATGCCCTTGTGCTAGCAGCAGTACTACCAACCCTGTCCTTTACCACGCCCACCAATGAGATTTTGACTGCTAAAATCCCCCCAATCAATGGATTTGCAACCATATCATGTGGATTTGTGGCTTTGCCTCTCCAATTACTAGCTATGTGAATTATCAACATTTACGTCAGGTGGTGATATGGTTTGGCTGTGTCCCCATCCAAATCTCAACTTGAATTGTATCTCCCAAAATTCCCATGTGTTGTGGGAGGGACATAGGGGGAGGTAATTGAATCATGGGAGCCGTCTTCCTCAGGCTATTTTCATGATAGTGAATAAGTCTCACGAGATCTGATAGGTTTATCAGGGGTTTCCACTTTTGCTTCTTCCTTATTTTTTTCTTGCCATCCATGTAAGAAGTGCCTTTCGCCTCCCACCATGATTCTGAGGCCTCCCCAGCCGTGTGGAGCTGTAACTCCAATTAAACCTCTTTTTATTGCCAGTTTCGAGTATGTCTTTATCAGCAGCATGAAAACAAACTAATACAGGTGGCATGATAGTGAATTATATGTGTAAATTTGACTAAAGAGATGACCAGATACCTGGTTAAAACATTATTTTGGGATGTATCTATGAGAGAGTTTCCAGAGGAGATGAACATGTGAATCAGTAGATTGTGTCAAATGGATAGTCCTTCTCAATGTAGGTGGACTCAACAGAACAAAAAAGTGGAGGAAGAGAGAACTTGCTGGCTCTCTGCCTGACTCCCTGAGCTGGAACATTGATCTTTTCCTGCCCTCATTGTTTCTGGTTCTCAGGCATTAGTCTCAAACTGGATTCTATGCCACTGGGTCTCTGGCTCTCAGGCCTTTGAACTACACATGTGTAGCTCCCTTTTCCTACATTTCTGGGTCTCCACCTTACAGACAGCAGACTGTGTAATTTCTCAGACTGCACAATTGCATGAACTAATACCCTATATTAAATCTCATTATGTATCGATACATCCTATTGATTCTGTTTTGGTGGAGAATCCTAATTAACGCAGTTGGAGTTGAGGAGGATGGAAACTCAGCAAGCAGTAGGAGAAGGGAACCTTAGCAAATGTGTACAAGAAGCCTACACTGACACTGTGGTAGGCAGAACAATGACTCCCAAAGATGTCCCTGTGCTGATCCATGAAACCTGTGAATATGTCACCTAACATGCCAAAATAGATTTAGTAGATGTGATTAAGGATCTTGAATTGGGAAGATTATCATGAATTATCAACTGGGTTCAACATAATTACAATAGTCCACATAAAAGTGAGATAGGAGTGTCAAGATTAGAGAAAGAGGTAGGATGACAGAGATGAGGCCAGAGTGACACCACTGTTGGAAAGGAGCCTGAGCCAAGGAATGAAGACAGCCTCTTGAAGCTGGCAAAAGCAAGAAACATATTTTCCTCTAGAGTCATCAAAAGGAATGCAGTCCTGCCAACATCATGGTTTTAGCCACGTAAGAGACATTTTTTGAACTTCCAACCTCCAGCACTGTAAAATAATAAATTTATATTGTATTAAGCCACTAAGTTTGTGATAATTTGTTATAACAGCAACAGGAAATACAGACACCCCTTGTGTGTCCCTGATAGTCCTTATAGACTCCACCTTTTGCCCCAGCTGCTATGGTAGTGACCCGTTCTGACTAGTTTTGTGCAAGTGCAACCAGCTGTGCCTTGCCCCTCATCTGTCTTGCAGCAGGCTTCTTTGCATTAACACAACCTGGAAATGCACGAGAGGTAATGCCCTGGGATTATTCTTAACCAATGAAGGATGATTGCTGAGGAATAAATATTTTTCTCCTTTTTTTCCTTAGGCAAAGAGTTCTAAGATGCATTTCACAACACTCTACAGAAGGAAGGTTGAGAGCCAATCATCTGCACCAGTGGCCAACTTAAATACATCCTTGTATCAGTTTTCCCTTATTTCCTGTTCTCCTCCCTAGACCTTCAGTCCTGTTCCTGGCAGTCACTTCCAGAATAAACCATATGCATGCCTCAGATTCTGATCTCAGAGGATACCGGACTAAGACAGAGATACACTATGCTGATTGCTCAACCTGCATGTTCTCATTAAATTGAAATATATACTTAGTAAGGTATTTATTCATATCTGCATGATTTTGTAGAGAAATCTTAGAGAAATTAATTCTTTTCAGAAGGCAAATAAAGTAACAGAGTAAGCAATTGATAAAACCTGGATTCCCCAAGTTAAACTGGTTGCAAAACCTGTATTGTTTCTTAATATACCACCCAAATTCTCGAATGGTATTGGAAGGGGTTAAATGAGATTATAAATATAAAATTATTGGTATAGTTAATTCTCAAAAATAGGCCTTCAATCTATAGAATCCCTTTGTAGAACTATCTTCAGGAAGGAAAGATACATCACCCTCCACCCCACCCTCGAAGAAACATGGAAAATTTAAACTGAGACTTCAAATCTTGGGCTCTGCACATCTTAGAATATTTTGTTTCTATGGAAAAGAAGCTTTGGAGAACGTGTATCAGTCAGAAACACTGTAGAGTGAGCACAGAAATCAGCCCATCACATTATGCCCCAAATGCTAAAGTGCTGCTGAATCTGATTGCCCTGCATTTTTAAGTGCTGCAAAATTCTGGGACTTGGGATCATCTGTCACTACAGGCTTGTCATATTCTGCTGAAATAAAACATATAGTCTAATTTGCAAAGTTCTCGTGTGGAAAGAGTCCTAAAAATGTATATAACCTCTGTCCCAGCAATTCCATTAGGAATTTATCCAATCCAAAATCTAAAATGCAGAAGATCTACATATTGAATGCTTATGGCAGTGTTCTTTAAAATTACAAAAATTGAAAGCAACCAAAATCTTCAAAAACAGACTAATGGCTAGGTAGTATAACCATGCTATGAAATGTGGTAAGTGAATACTCAAAATTTGTTTTGTATAAAAAATTAATCATGGTATAACATTTGGCTATAAAATAGAATGAATTTGACTGTATTTTTTAAACCGGAATCTCTGCATGTTTGTGAACCTAAAAGATAAGACGGTAAATATTTAACTATATTTTTCTTTAATTGTTGGAGCTGTAAATTATTTTAATTTTCTTAACATTTTTTAATCTTCTCTGAAAATTTTATAATAATCTCTAATAATTTATAGCAAACAAAATCCACAATTTTAAAGGGTATTCTTTATGCCTTTTTATCAAGAATAAAAATATATATCAATGTCATTTCTTCAAGAATCCTAAAAAGTGTTATTACACCATTTAATACAGATACTTGAGTCATGTGCATTCTTAAAAGAGAGTGGAAGGAAAGGCAGGTAATATGAGTAGGCCTACTGCTTGGCATGATCAAGCAAATATAGACCCTGCAGGGGTATGTAACTTCTATATGCTAATCCCACAGGAGGACTCTTATCAGACCTGTTTGCAGCACATGCCCACTTTTAAACTCTATTAGGCTGCTTTCTGTTTTAGAGTACCTGAAACTGGGTAGATTATAAAGAAAAGAAATTTATTTCCTACAGTATGGAGGCTGGGAAGTCCATCTTTGAGGGTGTGTATCTGTTGACAGCCTTCTTGCTCGTGGGAACTGTGTGGCATCCTGAGGCAGCGCAGGGCACCACATGGAGATGGGGCTAAGAATGCCAATGTGCTAGCTCAGGTCTCTTTTATTTTTATAAAGCTACCAGTTTCCTTTCCATGATAACTCATTGATCTATTAACCCATTAATCCATTCACCCATGAATGATTAATTCATTCATGAAGACAGAGCCCTTGTAATCTAATCATGTTTTAAAGCCCTCCCTCCAATACTGTCATAATGGGTATTAAGTTTCAACGTGAGTTTTGGAGGGGACATTTAAACCAAAGCATAGACCAATGCCCATGTCCAAAATATTAGGCTACTTTGACTATCTAAGGGTTACATTACTCTCTCCAAGGCAGTGGCAAGAGTGGAGGCCCCCTGTTGACAGAAGATGACTGTGCTGGGAGATACAAGGTTACAATCAAAGTTCCACTAACAAAAAAAGCCTTTTATAAGCCTATTTCTAAATTTTTTTCTGGTGCACACCTTTTTTCTCTGTACACACCTTTTGTTTCACATAGAACTATAGGCAATATTCTGAAATAATATATGCTGGTTTACAATCAGTGCTTTTGTAAAAAGTGTTTCTTCAACTTGGAAACACCAAGAAATATCCACCTCCCTCAACTATAAAATTTCTGTTTTTTCATTCCGCTTCCTCTAAGAAGTTTTTCCTTACTCCTGCTGATAGATGTCTACGTACTTTGTATATTACTCCACTTTCCCACTATAGTGTAAGCCACTGACAGCATGGGGAGTTGTATCATTTTATGTTTATATCCCCAGCTTCATGCAAGGCCTTCCATGTATACAAAGCATTTTAAAAGTGTGGAATAAATGTTGACTAAACCGTCAGTGTTCTGAAAAGATATATGATAGGGAAAAGAAGAAATTTTCAATAAATTAACCTGGACAAAATGGTTACTTACATATGGAGACATTGAATTTCTACCTCATACTTTACAAAACAATCAACTCCAAAATAAATAAAGACTTAAATGTCAAGCAAAACTTTTTAATTTTTACAAGAAATAACAGATAATGATAGCTTTCTGATCATGGAGTAAGGAAGGATTTGTAAATAGGGATTCTTAAAAAAGGAAATCCATAAAATTTGCAGCACTATTCACAATAGCAAAGACTTGGAATCAACCCAAATGTCCATCAGTGACAGATTGGATTAAGAAAATGTGGCACATATACACCATGGAATACTATGCAGCCATAAAAAAGGATGAGTTTGTGTCCTTTGTAGGGACATGGATGCAGCTGGAAACCATCATTCTTAGCAAACTATCACAAGAACAGAAAACCAAACACCGCATGTTCTCACTCATAGGTGGGAACTGAACAATGAGATCACTTGGACTCAGGAAGGGGAACATCACACACCGGGGCCTATCTTGGGGAGGGGGGAGGGGGGAGGGATTGCATTGGGAGTTATGCCTGATGTAAATGACGAGTTGATGGGTGCAGCACACCAACATGGCACAAGTATACATATGTAACAAACCTGCACGTTATGCACATGTACCCTACAACTTAAAGTATAATAATAATAAATAAATTAAAAAAAAAATAAAAAAAATAAATAAATTAAAAAAAAAAGGATACATTTCATTATAGTCTGAACTGTACATCAAAAGATACCTCAAAGAAAGTATCTGAAGTTGGATTTCCTAGAAGCAGGACCTGAGATAGAGAATTTTGTGCAAGTGATTTATTGAAGAAATGCTCTCAGGAGGAACCTATAGGGAAATGAAAGAAGCAAGGGAGGGGAAGCAGTTGACTAAGGATGTGGTTTCAGCTGGAGACTAGTGTCAGCTAAATCCCATGGAAAACTGTGGGCACATGAATTGTACCACAGAGGAAGTATTTCATGGAGGGAAAGGAGTCAGCCTTTTGTGTCTGTGTATTAGTCAATTATTGGTTGCAGGCTGAACCCAGGGTAGGAGGCAAAAACTTGTGGGTGAGGCAGGTCCATTTGCCAGGCACAGTTCTTTTGAGAACAAAGTAGTTGTGAATTGTTAACAGTTAACATTCATTTGAAAACAGCATCTACCAGGAGACTCAAAAGACAAGATTCAAACCAGGAGATGATACTGACAATGTATATGACTGACAAAGGGTTTGTATCAAAACTAAAAAGAACTTCTACAAATAATTTTTAAAAATACATAAGGACGATGTCTGAAGATATTCTCAATCTTATTAGCAATTGGAGAAACGCAATCAACACTAAAATGAGATACCATTTTACATCTACATGCTTGACAAAATATTACAATTCTGGCAATAATAATCATTGCAGAGAATGTGGATCATCAGGATCTCTCATACTTTGTTGGTGGGTTTATAAAATGTTATAACCACTTTGTAAAAGCAACTTGGCATTCTCCTGTAAAGTTATACATTCATATAATTTACAACCTGGCAATTACTCTCCCTCAAAATGTTAAATCATTCATGGCAGCATTATTCATAGTAGCAAAAACAAACAGAAAAAAACTGAAAATGACCCAAATTTGTATAAATAAAACAATGATTAAATAAATTCTCTTATATTCATGTAATAGAATATTACTCAGAAGTGAAAATCAAGAAACTCCAACTATATCAAAACAGTATGGTGTTTATATATATATATATATATATATATATATACACATACACACACACACATATATATATATATACACATTAGTAATATAAAGTTGAATTAAGAAAATCTAGTTCGAGAAGACTCTATGGAATATAATTTTAATACAAAGTTTAAAACAGGCAAAAATGAACCAAAACTAAACTAACTGTAAAAAAACAAAGAAATGGTAAACATGAAAATCAAAATACAAATACTTTAGTGTTGGGTAGTAGATCAAGGGTTGGTGAGATGGGAAAACAGTAGTATATAGATATAGATAGCTAATGATAATATGTTAGGTATAAGGTTGAATGATGGATTCATGTGTATTAGTCATATCATTCAAATATGAATACATGCATACACACATAAAATTAGGGATATGTATAAACTATCGATGACTGTGATAAACCTAGGAATAATATTAATCCAATTTCACATGCCTGAGGTCTATTTAAGTAAAAGAATAGCTCCAAGGAATAAATTTATGAATGCATGGATGGTCTAAAAATTCCACTTAATTGAATATAATCCACTAGATTTAAAGTCAAAAGAGGGGAGTTGATTTCCTGTCTTCCATTTATTTCTCATGGATATGGGGCCAGACTTTCTGAGTCTCAGGATTCTCACCTTCCCTATTTGAAAAATGGCACTAAATATAGCTACTCTTACAATCCTAGGTGGTAATCTTGAAGTTCAAAAGGAGACCACATATGTAAGCTCACTGTGTAAATTATAGATAAATATATAGCTAGATATAAATATGCCCATATCTTT